ATGGACAGGCCATTCTGCCTCCAAGGCAGGAGCAGACACTGCAGAGTAAAGCATTTTCCTGTGTGGGATGGAGCCACCACTGCCTTCCATGCACACACTTGATCAGTCTCTTCCTTATAACTCAGATAGCAGCTCTCTCTATTCAGAGGGATCTCCAGAGACAGAATTACACCTCCCACCTAAAACTTCCAGTTTGAACCCATGCCAAGCAACCCCTGTGGAAATTTTTTTCTAATAGAGAATAATTTAGAAGTCATCATTATAAACTTTACTTCTAATGCACTCCTGGCTCTACTCAAATCTCTCCTAGGTGTAGGATATCCAAGCTGGATGACTCCAAGTTATGGAGTCATTAGCTCATGGCATGGAACTCCATGGCATGGAACCAGCACCTGGCAGAATCTGAAAGACCTCTGAGTGTTGCTATTTGTCTTTTCAAGCAGAAAACCCATCCTTTATCTTAATCTCTTGTATAATATTATCACTTTGTAATAATTAACTGTCTTCAAAATTGCTCCACTGAATATATTTCCCTCTTGTCTTAATTTCTCAGTTGTCCTCATGAATTTTGATTCTATTACACACAAAATGGCCAAAACCACAAACCCTAAACCACAGAAATTATGCTGTTGCAGCAAAACCACATATCTGCTGGAAGCCAACTAGGCAGAAAGTCCAAACTCATTGGTTTATAGAGAAGTAAATAGGAGAGCAGTGATATAAATATTTGAAACCTCTTGTCTCCCGATCAGGATACAACTCAGGTATGTAAGGATTAAGCTCTGGTTGCCTGCTACTTGAGGTGCATTAGTATAGCTACTTAAAACTGAGTAATTCCATCAAAGGCAAGGCTCCTCTGTTTGAAGTCAGACACAAAATTATTGAGCAGCATCAGCTCCAAGTTGCCATGACATGAATAACACACCAATGCCCCTACATCATTAATATCAACACTCAAAAGTTTGCTGGGGTTTTTTTCAGAATACTTGAAATGGAAATAGAATTCATTGTACTCTTTTTAAGGTCATTTCCTTCAATTGTTTATGTGATGATGAAGAATCAACTCAAACATACAAGGTAAACAAAGAATGGTAGAGAGAATCTAACTTTGGCCAGATGAAACTACAGATGTGAATATTTAATGCAGATTTCTGCAAGGTGGCTGTAAATAGGAATGGGGAAGGCATGATCCAGTGTGCACACAAAATACAGTGCAGTTCTGAAAGGTGCTGGGTGAATGAAGGGTTTGGTAAAACTCAGCCAATCACCTAACCATATCCAGACAACAAGTGTGCACTGGATAACCAGACAATGAGTGTGTATTAGATGATGTATTAGAAGTCTGCATTCCCATCACACTACCATTCCTGTTCCAGAAACAATGGATGCAATAATCTCCGACAGTGTCAGACCTCCTGGGCATATCACCAAGACTTTTTATACAGCAAAAGTGTAGCAGGTGGTATCCTTCACTTAAGGATGACTTGCCTGGCTCTCCATCATGACATCTACCAGGTCTCCAGGTCTTCTGTGGGCCTGGCACTTGTCCATTGTTGAGTCTTATCTAACTCCAAAACGCAAAGAAAATCACTGATTTCCAAGGCTGCAGGCCATGGAGCTGCACCAGGGTGTACCTGGCTGAGCAGGTCCTTATTCAGAGTCATCAATCCCCTGTCTAAACTGGTAGGCTTTAAGATTTACTTGGCTTATATCATTTTGTCAATCAGAGCATTAGAGGATTAGGAGTTTTTTCTACTCCTTTTGTTTATTAAAAAAAGAAAGAGAAAAAAAAAAGCTGATGGATTTCACTCTTAGTTATCTATTTCCTAGCTACCTGTACCAAGAACAAAGACACAAACCTTAAGAGGCTTTGGGTATTTTTTCTTTTGAAGTTTGGGATTTTCTAGCAGTGTTCTTTCCCTTTCTGTGCCAATTAAAATGGGCCTGTTTTGTAACTGATAAAGGTGCCTCTAACACGTGTCCACAACAAGGAGCTTTGTGTGCAGTTACAGTTGTTCAATAGATGCCCAGTCCCAGACAGATGGTGCTTTATCTTCACCCCCTTGTCAAGACAGCATAATGCATTGTCCTGTCAGGGATTAATGGAAGTGCCACTCACATTAGATGCTAATTCTGGTACAAGTCTGTTAGAACACTACAGATGCTACAGCTACTGTTTCCCACTGTGCTTGTAGCAGTCTGTCCACACTGGAGCAGAAGCAGGACATTCAGAAACCAAGGTGAGGAGCACAATGCAAAAATCCACGCAGAATGCAACCTTGTGGTCAATGGGAAAGTGTCATTTAAAAAGCAAGAAGAGGATGATAAAAAAAAACCCACAGAGAAACAGTAGAAGAAAAAGTGACAACTGAATATTAAAGCAGACAAAACAAAAATCAGGAACCAAGAGGGAGGTTAAAAAAAAGATCCAACACAACAGAGAAAGAGCCTTTCCTCAGTAATGATCAACATATCACATCATCAGAAAATCAGCACTAGAATGGTCCGTAATACTGAAAAGCAGCTGTGGTACAGGGCAGAATGTAGATACAGTGAAGGTACATTATTCCATTGCTGGATTTGCCTCACTGGGTAGCCCAAAGCATTATTGCCTTATAAAGAAAAGTAAATGTTTAATATATTGAATAGGTACACAGTTGTGTACTGATTATTAATGAATAAATAAGTCCCAAAACTGATTTCAAGATACATACTCCAAGAACAATATGCCAAGGAGACATCTGTAAAAACACTATAAAAGACAGGCAATTCAGAGATAAGTTTTCAGCTCTCTCATGGACCCTCTTTTTGTTTAGATAAGAGATTTGAGATCTAAGGCTAATTTGAGATGCCTCCACACAAGCAGTCTCAGTGGCCTGAGTACCTTCTAGACTCTAAAAGACCAGCAGCACTTTTATCACATTTTCCTTTCAGGACTGTGCCCATTTACCATGTTCTGTAGCTGGCATAGTGGGCTAGAGGAAATCCAAGTATTGGACCCTTCTTTCTGAAAAGTCACTGGAGAATGGGAAATCTTTTGTGCTTGAGGGAAGCTCCTACATATTTATAGGGATGACAAACCTAGTTAGAAACTCCACGGTCACAAAACTTGTAATAACTGGCACTGTCACATCACTAATTGGTCAAGGCCTTTCACTCTGCGTTTCAGAAGAGGTTGCTTGTGAGAGAAAGAGAAGAAAGGCAAGGAAGAAGAGGCTATTCAGAGATGTTGATCAAACCTGAAAAGCCAAACCATGGCAGCAGATGGTAGATGGCAAACAGGAAGGTTTTGTCAAAAACTCGAATAGTTTAAAAACAGTGGAAAGAAGAAAAGCATTCTGACAGCATGAAATACTAACCTTTAAAGACACACAAGGAAATGCATATACACCGTCTGTTGCTCCATTAATAGATAAAGATGAAGCAATAGAGTAAATGCAAGGGAAATGAAATAGCAAGAGCAGCCCATCACTAACAGGTTTATGCACTGAGATGCAGCTTGAATCCAGGTCCTGAAATAGTATATTAGACCATAATGATTTCAAATCTCTTCTGAGAGTTGGAGACATGAGGTATACTGCTAACTTCTCACAGTCCTGTGCTGAATATTAGAAGCTGTGGTCATGGTAAAAAGCAGATGAACTATTAAACAGGAAAACTCCATCTGGTTCACAAAATCAATGAGCTGTAAATAATAAAAATCTAATAGGCCACATCAGGAAATTAAACCTGTATACTTCTGCCAGTCTCATGCTTTTATTTGTCACAGGATCTGCTGCTACCAGACACTAGGAATGGACTAGATGGGCCGGATATATCTTTGGTCGTGCATGTTTGTTCACTTTTATGGCTTTCTTTACAACATTTGTTACTGAGGAAGGACTCGCCAAGGAGATGGAAGAGAGTTTATTCATGACAACATGTTTGACATCCATTACAGTGGACTGAAAACCTTGGCTGCAGCCAAGGACAATGTAGGTTGATACCTAACTAGTCACTCCACACTCCAAGTGAGCATAGTTCAGTGACACACTTGCAGGCTCAGACCTCCTTACACCTCCATTTGCAGCAGTCCTCACTATTCCCATCTGGATCTTTCTTGAGTGATGCTTATGGTATTGGCCAGAAAATGTTCTGATTGTGTGACTGCATACAAATTGGATGTCAGAAGAAAACAGATATTTCTTTCTTGGACCAAAAGAGTATTCCCATTTCAGAGCCACATGATGAACTTTCTCATCTCAGTCAGTCTCCCTTTTTTTGTTCCTCATTCCTTATGCAATTCTGGCAATGCAATTATCAACCCTCCAGAGAATGTCTCTGGATTTCAGTACCAATGTAGCCATATATTGATATACTATAGGTGGACTTAAGTTTGCCACAATATTAAGCAGCTGGTCATCACAAACTCCCTCTTTAGGCCATAGGGAAAATCAGATCCTTCAAGTCTCCCTCACAGCAAACTTATTGCCATAACCTGCAACTCCTGCTACTCAAGCTGTGAGATTTTTCCATGTAGAAGAGCCTATCTGCCATAAACTCCATACTGTCCTACTAAACTGACTTTACTGATAACCCAAGATAATGTGTGTTTTAGCCTTTAAAAAACAATGCATTCTTCTCTCAGTGACAAAGATGCTGTCCTATGAGAGTCATAAAAGATGTGCTTATCTTTACAAAAACTTGTATCGTCCTTTAAGCAACACATTTTTCACAGGTGAAGCTCTATACAGTTGGATGAATAAACTGTAAACACTAGCAATATTTCCATTTGATTAAGCAAGATTCATTTTACAAATAACTCAACAACTTCTGTCATTCCCAATTAAACTAACCAAATGATCAAACACTTAATGTCTACAGAAACAAAGTTTCATCAACATCAAAGTTTCATTTTTATAAAAAAAAAATCTTTCTCCACCACAATTGTATGAAAGCAGAGCTTACTAGTCTTGGTCTCATTTTTAATATGCTGTTAGTATCTATAAAACAGATCTTACCTTGATCTTCTGAAGAAACCGGTGACCTGGAATAAAACAACAAAATCCAGTCAATCTTGGGTAAAAGGAAGGTCACAAATAAAGTTCAGTCTCAATCTGGGAAAGGGGATATGGAGTCATTTGAAATTTTTATTCTTTATTCCCTAGAAGAGAGGAGTGAAAGGCATCTGACCAAAACAAAAAAATAAAGAAAAAAGAGAAATAGAGCTGAACAGGTCATCTAGCAGCAGATTCTGCAGGCCAGAGCGAGCATATGGAGCCATCTCTGCGAGGACTGCTGCAAAGACTGTCTCTAGATACTTGGCAGAAACTCATCTGCTACTACCACTGCCAGGAGAAAACCTCCCAACTAGGGTTAGTCAAGGAAATTATATCTTGATAGGAACTCAGTTATATAGTGTCCATTTTTTGCCATAAATCAATGTAGTGGTTAGCATAAAACAGTAGTCATAATTAATAACATCTCATGCCACCTTCACAAAAGTAACATAACAGATCAAAAAAAAATTAATGTCAGGACAGATGTAAGTACAGAAAAAAGCCACATACCAACCCCAACTCAAGAGTTATGGGATACCCTAACCAGTGGATTAGGACTCTGATAATACCCCAAGAGAGGGAAGGGTTATGAAACACAAGTGACCTCTCAGTGTCCCTGCTGACTAAGAGAAGAATCCCAGTGAATTCTAGGGATTTGTATCTCAGTTCCCATCACTAAGGATCATGCTCCTGATGGTTTTGGTCACCACACAGAACAAAGGGACATGGAAGTACTGGCCCTCCATTTTTCCCTTTGCTGCAGTAGCATGGCTTAGCAAAACTGAGGCTAACCATGGGGCTGAATCTGGGATGTACCTTCATTGCTCAGACCAGACTGACAGCATAGAATCCAGAGGGCTGGACCACTCCTCAGCACTTCCCCAGCACAGATTTCAGATCCATACACAGCCTTCCCACCCAATGAGTTTGTTCCTGCAGTGAGTGGGGCAACCCATGTTTCCTTTCCAAGATATTTAATTTCACAACAACGCACAAAAATAACAAATTAGGAAAGATTTTAAAATGTTAGCGTTGCCAGCAAAGAGATCAAAGCCAACATAAAAAAAACTGCCACAGAGGGGTGAAGGGAAAGGAAGGAACAAAGGGGAAAAGAGCACATGTATATTTAACTGAGTCAGCAGGGGCTGAGGGCTGGAGGGGGGAAAAGAAGTGAAGCAACCCTGGGTTAGAGGAATAAAGGAGCTGAGGAAGAAGCCATGATCTCATTTCATAAAAAGGGTTTGAAAATGAAGGTTGAGGGATTATAGAACATCAGAAGCAGATATGCAAATATGTAGATGCAAACAGGAAAAATTGAAAGAAAAGGAAGCTTTCCTGCCAAAGTATGTAAATTTTTTTGCTGTAAAATAGAGAGAGATTTGCAAATAAAGAGAGGAAAGAGTTAGAGCACAGCTGGAGCAATGGTCACTGTGAAAGAAAAAAAATTTGATTGCCTAATTAGGATTCTGGCTGCACAAGAAGCCAATGTGTCTGTATGGATCAGAATTAATTAATCCTCTACTCCCATTAAAGGCTCTGATTGCTGCTGAACATCCTAAGCATGTATCCTGCTCTGTTGCCAGCCAGGCCAGCTCTGCCCTCACCCTTCAGCCATGTGTGTGAAATACAACAGGAATGCAGGTAACCCAAAGGATTTAGCAGGCTCCACTAGAACTGTCCTGCTTTGACCAGCTAGTTACAGACTTTTGTCTTTAACTCCTAGCAGAACCCCTTCTGAAGATCAAAAGCCACTGCATTTTCTACAAGGTTAAACAAACCAGAATGGTTCATATCAAGAGGTGAAAGTTTTTAGATACTTGAAGATATTTTTACATGCAAGAGTCATGCAAGGTTCCTTGGCTCACATATTTTGACCCTCCACCCATTGCTAAGGCAGTATTTCACTGCATCAGCAAAATATATTCCTTTGTTTTGTTTCTTAATTGCCCAGTTTCATCACCTTTCAGTTCTTTATTTGAAGCAATAAAATAAACAATACAGATTATCCTATAATTTGGCTCTTCCTTATGCTTGGTTAAACAGATGTCATTAGCTCCTTAAAGCATCAACAACAGAAGAGATTTTATTACAATATCAATGCCTTCTCAATTAAAGCATTGATTGAAGAGGAGGATGAAAAATATGTTTATTCATATTTTGTGTGCCTAAAATTATTATACATTTTTCAAAATATTACTGGCCTTTTTGCTTTGTTGCTTGTCTCAAATACAATGTTTGTAAGAAATGTAACATTAACACTGATGCTACTAGTAGTGCTTTTATTTGAAAGGATCCATCATGTAACTGTGTAGCCTGGCATCCTGAGAAAATAAGGTTTATATAACCTTATTTTTATCAGTTTCATCAAGTTTATATCAGTATCTTGATGTGTACACATGCACCTCTCTGTCTCACTCTGATAAACTCTGGGCTTGTTGGCTCATTTCATCCCTCGTTAATTGACAGGGAGTCAATTCCTGCTTGTACACACCAGGAAAAAAAATAGCACAAGCTCAACATTTCTGATGTAGCAGCAAAGCCACAAAGGAAGGTTTTGAATATCCCAGCCACAGGAAAAGCCTCAATGAGAGCTTCCACCACTGGAGATACCAAAGGCTCAACCACAACAGACTGGGCTTCCTTTGTTCCACCACTGACACGGAGAATTTTGGCAAAGAGCAGAGAGAACTTTCAGCATCCTCCTACAATTCCAGGCCATACAATTTAGCAAGGGGGAGGGAGGCTTTCCTAACTGCTCAAATCCTCCTCTAACTGCACCAAGGGGAGTCTTGTTTGTAGCTGTGATGGGAGGAAGTGAGGCTGCAGAAACCTCCACACTGAATGGAATTGGGCATTTTGTGCACTGACTCCTCCAGCCCATGCTTATGGCAGGCTCTAAGGGAGGAAAGAGAGAAAGCCTAATGACCTGCTCTAAACCACATCCACCCTCTCCACAGCCACAGGGGCCTTCCTGAGAGGACAAAACAATCCAGTAGATGCTCATATTTCCGGTCACACATCTTTCCCTCAGGTCTGAGAGAGGTGTGAGAGACAGACTGTGGCAGCACTGGCCACCAGACAGGTGTTGGAAGAAGGGAGGATTCTCATCTGCTAACACCCACACAGGAGCCATCTGTCCAGTGCATGTCAGCTCCCCTCCCAGTTTGATCCTGGCTATGTGTTTCACTGTCAAAAAGAAGCAAGTTATCATCTTAACAGCCTCAAAAAAAATAATTAGAGACAGGTCAGAGATACTTTAGGAAAAATAATATACTGTCAAGATCTGTGGTCTCACCTGGGTCAAAACATTTTGCCAAATGACATCTTGAAGAGATTTTCATTTGGTTAAACAAAACAGAAAAAAATCTTCAGGAAAAGGTTAAGGCACTGCAATATCCTGTTCTTGGCCATTTCAGAATGGAATAACTTCTTTCTTTATATGTGTATATATATACATCAACTGGGTTTTTCTTCTGGTTTTATCTTGGTGTAAAATTAACTTGTAGAAAGCAAGGGTCACCATCTCCCCAAGAGACTAAAGACAGGCCAGATTATCTGTGACTGGCTACATTTCCAGAGTCGTGAGATTCAATTATCTCTTCTACCAACAGTGATATTTATTTTCCCATGCATAAATGAAACTGGAGAACCTGATTTCACATATTTCACCAAAGGCTTTAATCTGACTTTCTCCCTGCTCTGGTTTTACAAACATCTATTGTTGTAGCAGATAGTTTGAGTAAAGACATTTCTGTGATAGGAAAGAGGATCAGAAGGGAGGAGGAGGAAAAGCATGCTGTCAAGAAGGGTCTTATCTACTCTGTTTGCTTTCCATGCTGTTCATTGCCCTCTTTTCTTACAGGTCCTGCAGCAGTGGCAAACTCAGCCAGAGGGATAACAGACCTTGCAAACCTCAGCCTGCAAAGGGAGGCTGTGCAAGGTCTGTTCCACCACCCCTTATGCAAGCAAAACAATACCCTTTGGACTTTACACAAAATCCTCAAGCATCTTCCAGAAATCAAGGTACACGTCTTTGGAAATGCATAAAAAAGCCATTAAAATGGTGCAAAAAAAGCCAGATCTTATATACATTAGATTCATCCAGCAAACTGGAATACTTACAATATAGAAGGCATGAGACCTGCCCACCTGAAACCACAACAAGCCTCCAAATTCACACTCTGATCCAAAGCTCACTGGAATTTTCCCACTCACTCTTGCAAGATTTGGATAAATTGCTGCAGAAACCTAATCCCCAGTATAGGCAAGGCAACCTTCAGTACCATATAAACCTCTCTCACAGAGCCAAACAATCAGAGCTGTTTCTAAGTGCACAGCCCAATGTGCAAGCACTAGGTTTGTTCAGAGTAGCTGGGGTGGAAGAAGGAACATTCATTTCTAAGGAGGGAAGTGCAGGGAATGTCACAATTTTGAGCCTAGTCAACTGAGACTTAGGAACCTAGAGATATACAGCCAGACTCCAGGAGATGAATTCTAACAAAATTTCAGCAAAAGAGTGCATTAATCATGAAGACAAAAGCCTCTGGAGAAACAAAGTTGGAACTGATGTAAAGAAGCTATTTTAATCAATAAACCTGTAGCAGAAACCATCTCCACCAGACCTATTTAAAACCAGCCATTTAATATTTAAAGGCCAAATAACAATCTCTATGCAGCAATTCTACTGGGGTTTATGACCATTCCACTTTCTTCCTGCTTAAGGAATGTAGTTCTGCAAACTTTTTAATTCAGTCTGACAACAGCTGCCTGTGATGAGGGGAGAGCAAGAGCTGTCAAATTAAACCCATTCCTTCTCATTTTGTAAGTGCATCTCTTCAGAATCAAAAGTGGCATCCCTGTTGGGATTTATTCACATATCCTCTGATTGCAAATGAAGAAAATTTTTAGCACATCAAGTGTTTTTAAAACATAGGTGAGGAAACCCTCTCATTCAGCAACTTGTATCAATACCCCTGTAGCTGTGATT